TGCAGAATGTGAATTAATTCACGTTCTGCATGCTAATGTAGATCGAAAAAATAAAAAGACAGGGCAACCGGAGATTACCTGGGATTGGTGTCGGGGCGGTGCTGCTGGCGGCGGAGACATGGTGGCCGGTGTTTTGGTGTGTTTTTCTTCTCTCTCTCTCCTCGGTTTTGCACAGTTTTCTCCATCTTCTTCTCTCTCCCTCTCTTTTGTTTTTTTTCTCTTCTCCTCTCCTCTCTCTCGTGTTTGGTTTCCTTCTCTCTTTCTTTTTCTCCCTCTCTTCGTATCTGCCTCCTCCTCTTCTTTTTTTTTTCACTTGCTGCCTCCCCTGCTTTTATAGGCATAAAAAAAAGGGAGGGGACGTGGCTGGGGCGGCCACTGTGCAGCTGCTCCTCCACCGTTCTTCGAGCACGTGGAAAGTGGGTTGTGTCGGTGTCTTTTTGAAGTTGAATTGTCGGTAAAAAGATAGGTGAAAATAGAGAAGAAAAACACATTTTCTTCCCTTGTTCTTTGCGTGTCCAGGGAAGAAGATGATGGTACTGTTCAAAACGGCACCGTTTTGCGTTTTTTGTATTTTTTATGAATAGTGCATATGAACAGTGCATAAAACGACGTCGTTTTTCCCAAAACGTGTCATTTCATTTAACTGAGATTTGGCGCCAAAATGCGTCAGATTCAAAATCAGGCCTTCAATTTGGGCGTGTTTTACAATTTGGTCCTTGGTTTTGGATTTCTTCAATTATGTCCCTAATTGGCCATCAAACTTCAATATTTATGCAATTAAGTCCCTGATTTGACCAAATTAACTCTCAAAAATTATATTTTGACTCCAGAACTTTAATTTCTTCTAATAAAAGCCCAAATTAACTAAAAAATCAAATTTTCTTGCAATCAAAACATCCACTAAAATGTCTATGTGGGGTAGTGGGAAATCATCTTTGGGGCTAGCTTTGTTCAAATTCCTGAAATCCACGCAAATTCTAATCTTCCCTTCCTTCTTAGGTACGACAACAATGTTTGATACCCATTATGGGTATTTAACAACTTCTAGGAATCCAGCATGCCATTGTTTCTCGAGTTCCTCTTTCACTTTAATCCATGTATCCGGATGTGCTCTCCTCAACTTCTGTTTGACTGGTTTACAACCTTCCTCTAATAGGATCTTGTGTACCACGATATTTGTGTTCAAACCAGGCATATCCTCGTAAGACCAAGCAAAAATATCTGCATACTCATGTAATAGAGCTATTAACTCCACCCTTTGCTTAGGCGTGGTCAATGTCCCTATTTTCAATTCTTTTTTAGCTTGATCACTACCCACATTTATAGTTTTGAGGTCTTCAGCAGCAGGTTCCCAGGTTTTTTCATGTTGCTCTACTAGCTTTGTGAATTCTCTGATATTGCTTTCATCCCATTCTTCTTCTTCCATCATTGTCACATGTTTGTTAAAGTTTGGTCATTCATTCTTGATGTTAAATGTATGTGATGTCGGGGAAGATCCGCTTTCAGGGTTCCTGAAAGCGGCAAATGTTTAATGTAAAGGCAAGCATAAAAACAAATGAATGTAGAGAAAAATGTTATCTTATTGCTTAGGAAAGTAGGCTCAATGACAAAGACAAAATCTAGTTGATATCATGAGCCTTGATTATCAACCAGAAAGACAAAAGAAAACAACGATAGAAGCATATGAAGGCAAACAAAGGAGGTTTACATTTTAAACACTAGTGGGGCTTCTTGGGTCACCCAGTTTTGAAACTTTTCACCTTCAGCCAGCCTTCGCACAAAAGTCTTGGTGGGGAGTTCTTCTAGGATATGAACAGTCAGTTGTGGTAGCACTTCATCTTCCCTTTCCACTACTGTTGTCGTGTTACTTCCTTCCACCTTATCTTCCTTCATGGTGTTGATGCTCATAGTTACCACCCTTTGAACAACATCGTCTACTCTGTTATCTAGTTGTATCACATATGCTGCCTTTGGGAAAGACACCATTAGGGGAGGGATTTCTAGTTTTTCTTCTTCAAGCTCCCTTCCTTCAATTCTAGCCATTCTTCGTTCTCTTCGTCTATCTGCAGCCCAACGATGGTCCTCCTTCTTAGACTTATATCCTAAACCAAATCTTTGGTCAGCACATCTTATCTTGATTGGCTTAATCGTTTTTGGTAGTTTAGTGATAGGGTTATATTGGAATGGGATTCCATGTTCCAAAAAACATTTAGCTGCCATCCTTGCTGCTTCTGAAATCCTTGGCTTTCTTAACTTTATGCTTTCAGGTACCCACTCAGTGTTTACAATCTCAAAGGCATGAAGATTCTCACCCGCACAATCTTTTGCCTCAAAGAAAGGTATAGCAAGATTCTTTATCATAGAGATCGTTTCCTCTGCTTTAACGATTACTAACATCCCGTTCATGATATATTTCAAACACTGGTGTAATGATGAAGTTACCGCCCCAGCTGCATGGATCCAAGGTCTTCCCAGCAACATGCTATAGGATGGGTGGATATCCATCACTTGGAGTGATACTAAGAACATTAGTGGTCCCACATACAGCTCTACCTCTAAAGTCCCAATGATTTGTCTAGGCGAACCATCATATGCTCTTGCTATCATGGTACTAGGCTTCATATGAGATTCGTCGATTGACATTTCTTTCAGTATATGTTTCGACAGTACATTAAGAGCTGAGCCGTTATCGACGAGTACTTTTCCAACAAGACAGTCTTTGCATTTTATGGTGATATACAAAGGTTTGTTATGTCCTGTTCCTTCAGCATCTAATTCATCAGCTGTGAAGTATAGGTAATTAGAAGCGTGGATCCTCCCTACCAGGTGCTCCATGGTTTTCTATTCAATGTCCTGGGGTACATACGCCTCATTCATTACCTTTTGTAAGGCATTTCGATGTGGCTCTGAGCTTAGTATCAAGGACATGAGAGATATCCTTGCTGGAGTCTTTTTGAGTTGATCTACTATATAATACTCACTGTGCTTTATCAACTTCAAAAATTCATTTGACTCCTCTTCCGTTACTGGTTTATTTACCTTTGTTTCTTTATCAAGATCCACCACTTCCTTACCTTTGGCTTTCTTTAACTCCTCGGGAGTAAAACAACGGCCACTCCATGTTAGCCCACTGATCTCAGTATGAAATAAAGGGATTGGGGCTTGAGTGTTCGCGGTATAACCATAGCTATATGGCATTACATTGTGATCCTTTGGTGTAAATGAAGGTTTAGTTAGGATCAGTTTTGGTAACCCATTAGCTGTAGTTTGAATTCTACACACCTTTGACAATTTATCTTGGCCTTCCATCATACTCACCTCTTGGTTGCCCCCCGTGGTTTCAAGTCTTAATTCTCCCATGATTAACATTGTTTCAATCTTCTAGCGAAACTTGATACAATCCTCAATATGATGTCCCTCCATCCTATGGAACTCACAATAGGTATCACCTCCCAACTGACATGCAATGTTCATGTTTAGTGACCCTGATTGTAACAACATGTCGTACAACCCTTTCATAGACACCTTCAATACTTGTTTTTGATTGACAACCTCTATCATGCCCACTCCCGAATTACCAAGAGCATGTTTAGGCAATGGATTTGAATTGATGTTGGGCGCGTCTTCGAAAGATACCCACCCCATTTTGATGAGTTCTAACAACTTCCTTTTAAAAGCATAGCAATTTTCAATTGCGTGCCCAGGATTACCGGCATGGTATTCACAAGCTAGTTCTGGCTTGTACCATATGGGAAAGGGTGGTTGAATTGGCGGTAGAAGAATTGGAGTTATTTGCCCAATGCTTAGCAATTTAGCGTATAAATCTTTTAAAGGCATTGGTAGTGGAGGTAATTGCTCAGAAGTATATTTGGTATATGGCCTTTGATAATTATTTTGGTTGTTTGGTGGGTGATTGCTTTGGTTGGTTGAATTTGGGTATACGGGCTTGGTAAAGTTCATGTTGGTGAATTGCGGGGTAGGTATTTGTGGGTTAGGGTAATTTACTTTCTTTCCTTTATAACCTCTTTCTAAGTTGTTAACATCCCCTTCTCTTCTTCTTCCTAAATAACCTTTTTTTTTCCAGAGGCTCCGGTATGCGCCCGGATTTAATACCTTGCTCTATTCTCTCTGCTATGCGTACAGCGTCATAAAAATGCTGAGAGGAGCTGCCTATTAAATGCTCATAGTAAGGTGCTTTAAAGGTATTAGCAAATAAAGTCACCATCTCGGTCTCGATTAAAGGGGGTTGGACATGTGTCGCCTCATCCCTCCACCTTTGTGCATACACCCTGACTGACTCCTGGCTTTTCTTTTCCATGGACATTAGGCTTGTTCGGTCTTGAGCTATTTCTAGGTTGAATTTATACTGTTTGAGAAACACCTCTACCAAATCTTTCCATTTCTTGATTTTATTTGTTTCCAACCGCATATACCAGTTTAAAGTAGAGCCTGACAGACTATCTTGAAAAAAATAGATAAGCATTTTATCTTCATGGATTACTTCCGCCATCTTATTGCAGTAAGATCGAAGGTGTGTGTTTGGACACTCCAAGCCTATATATTTGGTGAATTCTGGGACCCTGAAATCTTTTGGTACCACGATGTTTGGTACCAAACACACCTCAGCTGCTCGCATTGGGTCGAACCAATCATTTCCTTCTACAGCTCTCAATCGTTCTTCTAATGCAGATATCTTATCTTGGCTGATGAAACTGCCAGACCTATTTTCAGAAGGCCTATTCGGTGTTAAATCTTCGATAGGTGGCGTGTGAGCTAACCGGATAGGGATGGTTGGTGTAGAATGTTGTTCCGCTACTGACTCTACCCCCATAATTGGAGATGCTGCAGGCAAACTTGTAGCTGGCTGAGTAGATGTTCCCTCCCCACTTTTTGCTTTTAATAGCTGTTCAAGCAGATTAGTCATCCGTGACACTTCATTTTTCACTGATTCTAGCTCGCTCTGGTAGCGGGATTCTAGAAGAGCCCTTTCTTCGTGTTCCATTCTTGCTCTGTTTCTGGTGTAATGGACCTTGGGTGGGGGACCTATGTTTCACTGGAGCATGCAAATGACATATTATAAATAGACATATGATGCAAAATAAGATGCATATGTGATGCGTATATTTTAATGAACTGATTCATGACTTTCGTAATCCTTTAAGCAAGATATCTGAGCCAAACTGATTGCTGTAAAGAGTGTTTGCCAAGTTCTTTATCAGATTTAACTCCCCGAAACTCCATTTGAAAAGAAGGATGGCCTTTTTATAACTAACCAAAGGTGGTAAAAAGTGTACAAAATAGCAATAGCCTGAACACATTGTTACTCTAAAAGGCAATTCCTTTATTGGCTAAGTCATTAATAAAGGAAGTGAGAGCCCCCAAGTATTCTCGATACTTTGTAGCATTATTTCCAACTTGGGTTGCCTGTTGTTGCATTCTCTAGGCATAGCGGGCCACTTGCTCGACTTGTTTCGCCATATGTCTTATTTGGTCATGCAAGAAAGTGTTATTTGTGATGCTCACTTCGTTGTTGGCTCCCAAGACTTCATTGCTTCTTTCCAATGTTCGGACCATTGTTTCTAACAGTGATAATGTAGCCTTAGCTCTTTGTAATTCTTCTCTTTCAATGTCTAGCTCGGCGTTTTTGGAGTTCATTTGAACTGCAAAGCTGTTAATATAGTCTTGACATTCCTGGTACTCTTGCTTCAGCTCATGTAACTCTTCTTCTATCACACCATAATCACTTCTCAACCCCACTTCTTGCATCTCCAGCTTGGATTGTAGAATGATTATCTGTTCTTTTGAATACTCGGCCCTTTGTTGGTAATCTCTCATATCAGCCTCAGCAGCCTTTCTCATACTTCTCTCCTCTTCCAACTGTACCATATATTGAGCACATATATTTCTCTCTTCTTCTATATCAAGGTGGGCTTGCCGAGTCTTTTCTTTCTCAATTTCCATCTTTCCTATGAAACTACTCCTTTCTCTCTTCACAGAACCAATATCTCTTTATCTATATTTATCTTGTCATGCGCTGATTTCTTGATTTTGGCCAACTCTTTTTCTGTGAGGCTATGTTTATGAACCAGTTTATCATTTTCAATTCTGAGACCCTTCAACTCATCCTGGATTTGTTTAGCTAGTGCTTCAGCTATCTCTGCCCTTCTCTGCCATTGTTTGCAAGATGTTAATTGTTCCTCTTTCTCTTCTAATTGTTGGTTCAAACAATTCCTCATTGTATTTTCTTCTTCTAATTGTTGTTCCAGGATTTGTGTTTGCCTTTTGCTTTTGCCGAGGTTTGTGCTGCATCTCTTTAACTGTCTTCTTAGTTCTTCCTCATGATCAATCCTTTTTCTTTTTGGTTGCTCTATTGCGGACTCCGGATGTTCAGGTTTTGAAGACTCAATGACCCTAGAAAGCTTTCCATTTCTCCAAACTGCATAATTCTGGCTGACAGATGATTCAAACATGCTACCTTCTTCCTTTTTCACTAGTATAGGCCTTTTCCAGTCTTGTCGAATGAGTTCCATTTCTTTGAGGTATGGCTCATGTTTGAATAAACCAAAGAAATCTGTTAAACCCAAAGTTCTTGGTGTATATTGCATTCCACCCAACTGTCTTGTTACTAGTGCTGGGGCATAACTAATGTATCCAGTAACACCAATTAAGGGAACCCATACCTTGCTCCCACAACTCATTGTGCAGACTGTGTTATTCATCCACAGTGCTTTCCATTTGAAGTTGCTTTGTAGTAGTGCAGAATACTTCTTTATCCATTGCTTGACCGCTTTTTATGATCGGCTTGTTTTAACTCGCAAGTGCACGAGTGTGCGATGTAGCAATTAACTCGGTAAGATCGAGGTCATATCCACAGAGAGCTAGATCTGGAAATTAAGCTAAGTAACAAAAAAAAACTCAAGAGAAATTAAATTAACAATAACTTGGTTGAAAATAATTGATGGATTTGTTTTTAAAGATAAAAAAAATGTAAATAGATTTTAAATGACAAGAAAAAGTAAGTCTTGGTCCAAATCAATTTTAATGGTGATGTATTGGTGATTTCTTCAACATATATAAGATAACTCAACCTAATATCAATGATGGTGATATTAGATCAGAAGATATTACAATGAAGATTAGAAAGATGAAGATTGATTATTGCTTAAGAATGAACAAGTACTTTCATATTAAGTAAGACATTGAATCAAGCAATCTCTATACCAAAACTAAAGTTTGTGCATAAAAATTCAAGATTATAACATTACCTAAATGATTTCTAAAATTTCTTTACAATAATAAATCATTCATGAAGAAAATAAGAAGATAAACATTAAGATTCATTCATATCCTAAAGAACTCACCTCAATCACCATTATCCTTGATTTGGATCCAAGAAAGAGTTTAGCCAACCATGATTATATATAAGAACACTTCAATAAACATGAAAGAACTTGAATCCAACTGAAATAATAAGTTTTACAAACTAAAGAATATGAAAGAACTTGAATCCAACTGAAAAAATAAGTTTTACAAACTAAAGAACCGAAATCTATAAAGAAGAACACAATACAATTTCAGAAAAAATTCGGACACAAATCTGACTCTAACTTTGGACAGCAATTCGACCCTCTTAGAAGCTTTTTTTGGAGAAGTCTATTAGAGACATATTTATAGGCAATTCTGTCACCTTTCCAGATCATTAAAGAACAGCTCATTTAAACACCTGAGTCAAAAGTTATGGGCAAAACACCGAAAGTTGTTCTGAAAAATCAAATCAAGACAGCTTTACAACTACTTTGGTGCACGTTTTTCTTCCTCATTTATGAGGTGTCTCCTTCTTCTTTTTGACCCAAAATAATGTTAAAATATCCCCTCCAGCTTTCCATCCATGTGCTTGCCTTCTTGGATCAATGGATTACCCAAAATAAATCAATTGTTATTTGTTGTGTGGACATGTAAGATCATGGATTGTGTTTGGGTTGATTTGAAGGTTGATTTGGGGTTGATTTGGGGCTGATTTTGGGCTAAATTTGAGCATCAAATAAGTATACAAATGTACTTATTATTTGGGCTAAGATTGACATTGAAACCTTAAGTGTTTAATGGTTGAATTTTGCACACAACATAAGGCAAGTTTGGGCTTGAAATAAATCATATGATATTCTTTTCTAGAATTGGAATAGAATTGATTTTTGGGACAAATTTGGAGCACTTATTTGAACCAAGATTTGCTTCAATCTTCAACTAAATGTCTCTTCAATTCTTTGTTCTGAATTCTAACGTTGAATTTTCTGAATTAATTCATTTAAGCTCCAAAAACCTATCGAAACATTAAAACAAACT